AAAATTTTATTTTATTATAATAGTTTATTTTTATATCGTTTTGTGCCTTTTTCCATCTCAGTTGTAATCCCCGTAGACTTTTCCACCACACTTTCCCCTAGTAAGCCTTCAGATGAGTAACCCCAAAGCATAGCTTAGAAGCTTTATTATTTTATTTTATTATATCAGTTTATTTTTACATATTTTTGTGCATTTTTCCATCTCAGTTGCAAGCCCCTTGAGTTTCCCATCACCAAATCACCCATGTGCCATTACCATAGTCCAGTGCATTTCCCTCCCCCCACATATATTTATAATTTTGGTAAATCAACTGATGGTGTTCACACATTGCTTTCATTTAAAAGGTTTCTATTCAGTATGAGATTTTTCATGTCTTTTAAAGGAGTTGGGATGACTGAAGGCTTTCCCACATTCTTTACATTTATATGGCTTCTCACCAGTGTACATTCTCATGTGTCCTCGAAAGGTAGTACGATAAATGAAGGCTTTTTCACATTCCTTACCTTCATAGGGTTTCTCTCCAATATATGTTCGAAAGGATGTGTAACAACTGAAGGTTGTCATTGTAAACAATGTGGTCATTGTTTACATTCATGGGACTTCTCTCCTGTGTGAGTTCTTCCATGTATTCGAAATGAACTGGGAAAATTGAATGCTTTCCCACATTCCTTACACTTGTAGGGTCCATCTCCTGTGTGCATTATCATGTGTGTTCAAACACTTGAGGGAGAAATAAAGGCTTTCCCACATTCCTTACATTTATATGGTTTCTCCCCAGTGTGCTTTCTCAAATGTCTTTGAGAGGTTGTTTGATAAATGAAGGTTTTCTACATTCTGTACATTCATATGGCTTCTCGCCAGTGTGAATTCTTTCATGTGATCGAAATGAACTGGGGAATGCTTTCCCACATTCCTTACACTTATAGGATCCATCTCCACTGTGTGTTATCATGTGTGTCCAAATACTTGAAAGAGAAATGAAGGCTTTCCCATACTCTTTACATTCAAAAGGTTTCTCTCCAGTGTGAATTTTTTCATGTATTCGTAAACCTAGAGGAGAACTGAAGGCTTTCTCACATTGTTTACATTCATATTGTTTCTCTGCAGTGTGCATCTTTTCATGTCTTCTAAAGAAGCTGGGACAACTGAGGGATTTACCACATTGCTTACATTCACAGGGTTTTCCTCCAGTGGGATTTCTTTCATGTATCTGTAAGCCTAGAGGAGACCTGAGAGATTTACCACACTATTTACATTCATAGGGTTTCTCTTCAGTGTGAGTTCGTTCATGTGTTCAAAATGAGGTGGAACAACTCAAGACTTTCCCATTCCTTATACTTATAAGGTTCATCTCCAGTGTGTGTTATCACATGTCTTTGAAAGGTTGTGAGCCAAGTGAAGACTTTTCCACATTTCTTACATTCATAGGGTTTTTTTTTTCCCCCAGTACGAGTTCTTTCATATCTGTGAACACATTTTTGGTAACTGAAGGCTTTACCAGATTCCTTACATTTAAACAGTTTCTCTTCATATTCATGATAGTCATATAGTTTGTGTCCAGTGTGAGATCTGACATACCTATTAAGGGATGATACATGAAGATTTTTACATACATGCTACATTCACACAATTTTACTCCTGAAGGAGTTTTATTATTCAGATTACATTTTGGAATGTGGCTGACAGTTTCTCCACATTGACTACCTTCCTTATATTCACAGAGCTTTTCTGGCTAGAACTTCCAGTGTTATGTTGAAGAGCAGTGGCGATAGTGGACACCCTTGTCTTATTACTGATCTCAAAGGAAAGGCTTTCAGCTTTTCTCCGTTGAGGATAATATTGGCTGTGGGCTTAT